ACACACACACACACACACAGGCAGACATACAGACAGACAGACAGACACACACACAACAAACGCACACAAATACACATACACACGCACACACACACACACACACACACACACACACACACATATATATATATATACACGCACACTCTTGCTCGTGTTTGTATCAGGTATGGCATGTGCGATGATGGACTGACTATAAAATAGTAGATACAAGCGTAGGTGGCGTAGGTAAGGGATATGCCCAGGTCGTGTGTTCTCAGTCCAGATGTCACTTCGACTATTTAAATCTGTCAGGTATACAGCTGTCCAATGAAGCGTGCATTCAGGTGCTATATCGAGTTGGAAAAGACCACCATTCCAAAATTGCACAGATAAGAAGATTTCCATACCTTTGTTTAGTATCTACGTATATCACAACCGCACACATGCATATACATAACAATAAACTGGCGTCGATAAAGTTGGGTAGATACCTTCGCCCGAGGCTTCCTGTGCGTGCGGCACAGTTGCGAGTGTTCTCCTTAGAGGCGCCACCGATCGCCGGCTTACTACGGTACGTAGGCATAGCATATTTGTGCTTGTGTATGTTATTTTAAATGAAGAAGGGAACGATATTTTGAAAGCGATCAAAACTGCTCATACATATAAATCTGAAATCACATAGAGAGACTGAGTCACAGAGAGTCATAGACTCATAGAGTCTCATAGAGTCATAGTCTCATTGTCAGAGACTGCAATAAAATATTGCCCAAAATTCACATGATTTCTAAAAATAGAATCATTTTATCATCCTGATCAGCATCATGACTTGCTGCTTTTAAAGCTCACTATGTATTTACGTTAAGGTAGTCCTGCCTCCTGAGCATACGATATAACGTAAATGTAGAACGTATTGGTTTCCTCCCGTCATAACATACATAAGCGTAAAACGTATCAAGGTTAGGATTTTTCATAATCCTTTTCCACACTAGAATTCATGTGATGCTGCTAAATCAGATACGTTATGACATAAACGTAAAAATATTGATTATTATACGTTATACCGTAAAACGCAATGATATAAGTGATGCTGTATTGCTGTGGCGTTGATGTCGTCTTATTTGGTTCTTGACTTTCTATTGACCATCATCTTTAGATTGTAGTAGACTGTAAGTATCAGACGGAAACAGTTTGTTGCTATGAATGAGTACTGTGCGCGACTGTGATGTGGGCTACGCGTGGCCCTCGGGCTCTCTCTGTTACATATCAGCACAAGGCTGGATGTGTATCAGGTCGTAGATCGTTGTATATATGCGATCAAACATATCAATACAAAGCTAAACACTTAGCAATTCTTAGATCTCTATACACGAGCACGCAGCCACAAGTATTTCTCACAACTGGCAAAGACCTACAACTCCATCAAGCACTTAGCCGTAGCTATAGTTCCTTAGTAAATCTGACTGATCAGTCACAGAGACAATCAAGAAACCATACATCGTCAGCACAGTCACCAAGTTCTCTAGATATATTTCATAATGTTTTCCAGAATGGGCCGGCATTCCCCATCGCTGCTTCTGACATCGAGATACTGCACGAGCCCTCTGTGTTCGCACAGAGACTCACAGATGGTATTGCAGGCGCTGAAAAACGCGTCGTTGTCGCTTCCTTATACCTGGGTACAGGTGCCCAGGAGAAGGCCATAGTGCAAGCACTCGAAACAGCCAGTAGTAACGGGGCTAGCGTGGAGGTATTGCTGGATGGTCTGAGAGGTTCACGTGGTGACCCGAGTTCGTGCACTATGCTAGTTCCTCTAGTAAGTAACTCTAGTAAACCAGATATGAGTGAGGGCTCGCAGAATAAAGGAGACGTGAAAGTGTGCATGTTCAGAACGCCGGACTTCAGAGGCATACTAACACGACTCCCCGATCGGTTTAACGAAGTCATTGGATTGCAACATATGAAAGTGTATTTGTTCGACGACACGGTGATGTTGTCGGGTGCGAATTTAAGCGACTGGTACTTTGTGGACCGACAGGATAGGTATGGCGGATCTATTTCTGTGTGTTCACGCAGCAAATGGCTTCGGTATATAATTAAGTGGTGTTGTGACAGTTGGATGCTTCTAAGCAGGTGGTTATGTATAAGATGATATTTGTGTGATTGTATGAATCCTCAACTCGCTAATGTACAATGAGCCAGGGATCTAGAACAAAGATGTCATCAATCATACCACCTCTATATAATTTTGTTCGCAGATACACAGACACCGACACACACAAGCACACTCATACACACACAAACACATGCGCGCGAATACATACACATAGATACACACACACACGCTAGCATAAATACACATATATATATCTGTACATGTATCCATATAGAAACTT